GGTGGGGGAAGCCAGAGGGACTTCTCTAGCCACTGGGTTAGTGGGGGCGGGAAAAAAGTTCATCCCTAGTCACCAGGAATGTGTGTTTGTAGAGTGGTGAGTGCACCTCTCCAGTTGTGATTCACTGGCATGGCTTTAGCCCCCTTGGTATCACACAGCTGCTTATCCAGATCTTGCCCAGACTCAAACAAGTGAAAGACTGCCCTGAGTCTCGCTTCTTGAATCACCACCCCACAGGCCTGTCCACTCATGTGGGCCCTCAACCCAAATGACTAGTCTATACTAGTGGAGAGATGTTTCATTCCCCTTCTCTGGCTCCCTCATCACTCTGCAGTTGCCAGTGCCATTGGAAATCTGACCTGTTTCCCTGTGCTTTCCTCTCCGATAAAAATGAAACAAAACAAAACAAAAAAGCAAACTCACTACTGTAGAGTCAATTTGACTCATAGTGACTCCTCCTTGGGTTTTTGAGGCAGTATCTCTATGGAAGTAGATTTGCCCAATCTTCCTTTTGAGGAGTGGCTGGTGGGTTTGAACCACCAGCCTTCTGGTTAGCAGTCAAATGCTTTAGGCACTATGCCACCAGAACTCCCATATCCAGGGCATATTCTGCTCATCTTACTTTCCTCCAGATGTACCCACATTGTATCTCTACTGCAGTGTGGATTCCATGAAGTTGGTTTCTCCTTGTCTACGTATGATATCTCTGCACCTTAAAATGGCCATGTTTCATTGGGTCCTGGCATCTTTTCTCTCTTTTCAGTTACTGTCCTTGCTTTGTCTCCTTTCCAGTCAGCACTCAATTTAATTCTTTATCCTCTCATTTGATTCTCAGAGTTCCAGAATCATTATTTGAATATGTTTTAATCAGTTTGCCAGGTCTCTGTTATAGAGGGATTGAGTGGAATGTGTTAGTAGGACACCTCTTGACTCTGCCTCCAGTTTGTACATTTTGAGTAATGTTTGGTATTTTATTTATATTTGATATTTTATTTATGCCATAGATTACAGCTCCTAACTATGGCCCTAATTTTTCTTCAATGAACTTTATAGTTTTAGGTTTAAGATTTAGGTTGTCAACATATTTGAGTTAATTTTCATTTATGGTGTGAGGTATGGGTCCTGATTCATTTTCTGCAAATAAATGTATATACAATTTCACCAGCATCATTTGTTAAAAGACTATTTCTTTCCTATTTACTGAACTTCAACACTTTGTCAAAGATCAGCCATTAATAGCATGATGGATTTATTTTGGAATCTCACTTCTCTTCCACTGGTCTATTTGTCTGTCATTTGCACCAGTACTGCCATAGCTATGTAGTATGTATTGAGGTCAGGAAGTATGATGCCTCCTACTTTATTCTTCAAAAATGCTTTATCTATTCAGGGCCTTTTTCTTCTCCATATAAAGTTGGAGACTAGTTTTTCCATTATGTTAAAGAATGTTGTTGGAATTTGGATTGGGATTGCATTTTATCCATAGATTGCTTTGGGTAATCCTGACATTTTCACAATGTTAAGCCTGCCTATCCATGAGTTTAGTAGGTTTTTTCACTTATTTATGTCTCTTTTGTCTCTATTCCAACTAATTTTTGTATGTTGATCTTATACTCTTCCACTTTCCTGAGATCTTCTATCAGTTCCAGTAACCTCCTTGTGGAGTTTCTGGGATTTTCTTCATATAGGATCATGTCATCTGTGACTAGGGATAGTTTTACTACTTCCTTACTAATTTAGATGCCATTTATTTCCCTTTCTTGCCTTATTGCTCTAGCTAGGACTTCCAATACAAAATTGAATAAAGCACATCCTTATCTTTTTCCTATTCTTAAGAAGAATGTTATTTGTCTCTCTTTGTTGAGAATAATGTTAGCTATTGATTTTGCATATACGGTCTTAATGATGATGTTGAAGAATTTCCTTTCTAGCCCTATTTTATTATTAAATCAGGAAAGGTTGTTGGATTTTATTAAATGCCTTTTCTGCACTGATGAAATGATCCTCTGATTACAACCCTTTGTTTTATTAATGTGATGAATTGCATTGATATTCTAATATTGAACCGTCCTTTCATCCCTGTTATAAATCCCACTTGGTCATGATTTATTTTATTTTATTTTTTTCCAAATGCTGTTGAATTCTATTGGTTAGAACTTTGTTGACAATGTTTGCATCTCTATTCATGAGGTATATTTGTTTATAATTTTCTTTTTTTAGTGGTGTCTTTGCATGGCTTTGGTATCAGGGTTATCTTGGTTTAATAGAATGAATTAGAAAGTTTCCCTTCCTTTTCTATGTTCTGAAATAGTTTGAGTAGAATTAATGTCAACTCTTCTTTGTATGTTTGGTAGAGTTCTCCAGTGATGTCACCACCTGGGCCCAGGCATTTTTTTCCTCAAATGACCTCTTCAATTTCTTCTTTTGCTGTAGGTCTCTTCAAATTCTCTACTTTAGTTTGTGTTAGCTTAGGTAGGTAGTGTGTTTATAGAAATTGACCCATTTCTTCTAGGTTTTCAAATTTCTTGGAGTACAGTTTTTCATAATATTCTGTTATGATTCTTTTTGTCTCATTTAGTTCAGTTGTAATGTCACCCAGCTCATTTCTTAATGTGGTTATTTGAATCTTCTCATTCTTTTCCTTTGTCAATTTGGCCAGCAGTTTGTTGATTTTATTGATCCTCTCAAAGAACCAACTGCTAGTTTTGTTGATTCTATTGTTTTTCTGTTTTATTTGTTTCTGCTCTAATCTTTATTATTTCCTTTGTTTATTCCCTTTATTATTTCTTTCTTTCTTTATTATTTCTTTCTTTCTTTATTATTTCTTTATTTCCTTTATTTTTTCCTATGTTTCTGGGCTTCTTTTACTGCTCTTTTTCTATTTGTTTGAGTTATAGTATTAAGCCACTGATTTTGGCCTTTTCTTCTTCTTTTAATGTGTGCATTTATGGCTATAAATGAATACTGCTTTTGTTGTATCCCAACGTTGTGTTAGGAAATGTCTTTTCTCCACTGATTGTTCTCATCCTCATTTGATTCTGGTAATTTTTTATTTCATTTTTAGTTTCTTCTGTTACTCAATTGTTATTAAACAAGGTGTTACTCAATTTCTATGTGTTAATTATTCTCTTGCTCTTCCTATTATTAATTTCTAGTCTTGTAACACTGTGATCTGAGAAGACATTTTGTATCATGTCAATGCTTTTGAATTTATTTAGTTTTTTTTTTTTTTGTGTGTGTGTGTGTGTGTGGCCTAAAATATGATCTGTTCTGGAGAATGATCCATGTACTTTAGAGAAGAATGTGTTGGGGAGTGTTCTGTACATGTTTATGAGGTCAGGTTGGTTGATTTGCTATTTAGATCTTCTGTATCTTTGTTGTTTCTTTCTAGTTCTGTCCTTCATTGAAAGTAGAGTGTTAACATCTCCTACTATTATTGTGGAATTATCTATTTCCCTTTTCAATACTATTAAAGCCTGTTTTATGTATTTTGGAGCTCTCTCATTATGCATGTAAATGTTTATTATGGTTATGTCTTCTTGGTAAATTGAACCTTTAATAATAATTGTATAATGCCCTTCTTTGTCTCTTGTGATGGATTTTTACTTAAAGCCTATTTTATCAGAGATTAATACTGCCATTCTTGCTCTTTTTTGGTAACTATTTGCTTGATATATTTTTTCCATCCTCTGATTTATAATCTATATATGTCTTTGTGTCTAAGGTGTGTTTCTTATAGACAACACATTAATGAGCCATTTTATTTTTATCCATTCTACCTAATGTGTCTTCAAGGAATATTAAAAACCTCAAAGAAGAAGAAGTTTTAAAAAATATTTTAATATTCTGATGACAATTGAAATCCTTTAGCATAATCATTACAATTTTATTCATGTACACCAAAACTTTAGAAACAATGATATGAAAAATTCAGTTTTCTTCCTTGACAATAAAGCACACTGTGTAGCACAGAATGTCTTACTTAAAAAAAAAAAAAATCTTTGAAATATGTAATGCAGAACTTCTGAAGCCAACTTGTAATAAAAAGCACAGGTGAAAAGCAGGTGGCTAATGGGCTATAGTAAGTCATGATAATCTGAGGATGTTTTTCTGAACCATAATTTTCTCAGTTGTTAAATAATGGGGTACTAAATGGTGGTGGAGTGGTTAAGGCATTTGGCTGCTAACCAAAAATTTGGTGGTTTGCATCCACCAGTGCTCCATGAAAGAAAGATAAGACAGTCTGCTTTTGTTAAGATTTATGGCCTTGGAAGCCCAATGAGAGTTGCTATGAATCAGAGTTGAATCAATGACAGTGAGATAATGTCAAAGGGGTTCTGATTAAACTGGTTAAAGCATTCAGCTGCTAACCAGAAGGTTGGCAGTCCAAACCCACCAACTGTTCCATGGGAGAAAGAGGAGGAAGTCTGCTTCTGTAAAGATTTACAACCTTGGAAACACTATGGGAAGTTCTAATTTGTCCTAGAGGGTCATTATGAGTCATAATAGACTTGATGGCAGTGGGAGATAATGTCAAGATTTCCTTCCATTTCAGAAATTATTATATTACCTAATAAAATTAATTTTCCTTGATTTTTTATGAATGTAAAAATATTAGAAGCTGAGCCAACACCTGAGGCAGCATTTGGAAACTTTTAAAACATGAGGTTGACTAGTGGTACCATTAATATTTTAAACAGTTCATGTAAGTTCTGTGACATTTCAGCTCCTTGGCCTGAGGATAATGGCTTCTTCCCCTAGTGTATTAAATGGGTTATAAATAATAGATTTAGTTATTTTTAAATTCTAAGTTTTCCTTTACATCTTAGGCAATTTAGGCTTTTTACATTTTAGGTAGCATAAACAAAAGTTTGTTGAATGGGGTAGATTGTGGATGAAAACAAACAAAAATACATTCATATTTTAATAGGTAAGAAATAAACACACAATTCAATTATGTTAGTATACATTGAGGTTCAAGAAACAAGAATCATAGTTACCTGTCTTCCCTTAAGACCTTTCTTTCCACGCATCCCAGGTATGCCCTAGGATATAGAAAAGACAAAATAAGTATTTGTTGAATGAATGAATGAAGTAGATATTACAGATATTCTTCTTTCAAATACCAATCAATGAAATATGATGAGGAGAGAAATAAATTCTTTTATAAATTGGTATTACATTTAGAAAATTTTCAATATTTTAATTTAACTGAAGTTGAAATAATGGTTGCTGAGCTGTGGTCCCCTTCTTTTTTCATAACAAAATCCTGATTTTACCCGGGAATCCACTTTATCTGCACTTCTAAATGGGATCCTGACATTTCCCTGTAACAGTTATCTGTCCAGAGGAAAACACATGATTAAAGTTAGCATACCCAGACAAATAAGAAAGCCTCATTTTCCATACATAAAGGACAGTACCCTTCTCTCTCTCTCTCTATCTGGACATAAAAAAAGGAAATATTTACTCTTTACATTGCAATTTTTCAATCATACAGGAAACCAGTCATAAGGTAAAGAAAACACTGAGAAAGGTAAAGTAGAAACAAGGACAATGATATTACTGCACTCAAGATCATACTGTGCTCAGAACCCACCTAACCTAGGGATTTGTAGTCATGTAAGAAGCAGTAAGGCATAGTACTTAAGTTCCCAGGCTTTGGAGCCAGAATACCTTTGTATAATAGTATCTACCTCATTGGGTTTTGTGAGCCTTAAAGTAGTAGTTGTTGTTGTTGCTGTTATTGTTGCTGTTAGGTGCTGTTGAGTTGTCTCTGACTCACAACAACCCTATGTACAACAGAAAAAAACACTACCCAATCGTACATCATCCTTACAGTCCTTGTTATACTTGAGCACATCATAACAGCCACTGTGCCAATCCACTTTATGGAGGGTCTTTTCCTTCTTTCTCTGACCCTCTACCAAGCATGATATCCTTCTCTAGGGAATGGTCCCTTCTGGCAACATGACCAAAGTAGGTGAGATGAAGTGTGACCATACTTGCTTTCAAGGAGCATTCTGGTTGTACATCTTCCAAGAAAGATTTATTTGTTCTTCTGGCAGTCCATGGTTTTCTCAGTATTCTTTACCAACACCATAATTCAAAGGCATCAACTCATCTTCAGTTTTCCTTGTTCATTGTCCAGATTTCACATGCATATGAGGTGACTGAAGATGCCATGGCTTGGGTTAGGTGCATAGTAGTCTTCAAAGTGACATCTTTTCTTCTTAACATTTTAAGGTGGTCTTTTGTACCAGATTTGCCCAGTGCAATATGCCATCTGATTTCTTGACTGCTGCTTCCATGTGTGTTGATTGTGGATCCAAGTAAACTAAAATCCCTGACAACTTCAATCTTTTCTCCACTTAATTATGATGCTGATTATTTTCCAGTTGTGAGGATTTTTGTTTTCTTTATGTGGCGGTGTAATCCATACTGAAGACAGTCGTCTTTAACTTTCATCAGTGTGCTTCAAGTCACCTTCACTATCAGCAAGCAAAGTTGTAGCATCTGCATATGCTAGGTTGTTAATTAGTCTTCCTCCAGCCTGATGCTGTGTTCTTCTTCATATAGCCCAGCTTCTTGGATTATTTGCTCAGCATACAGATTGAATAAGTATGGTGGAAAGATACAACCCTGACACACTACTTTCCTGATTTTAAACCATGAAATATCCCTTTGTTCTGTTCACATAACAGCCTCCTGGTCAATGTACAGGTTCCCCTGAACACAATTAAGTATTCTGGAATTCCCAATCTTCATAATGTTATCCATGACTTGTTATGATCCACACGGTCAAATGTTCTTACATAGTCAATAAAACCCAGGTGCAGTGTAGTAAATTACTTAGTGTGGCTTTTCTACCCATAAGTCTTTGTAAACTCCAAGGTGGGATTTTCTATGAGCAACTGAGGAGCTCCTGATTGCTGAAGATGTCCACCTGGAGTATTTCTGTTGGGCGTGGCACAAAACAATGTTCTGGGAGGTGCCCACTCTCTCTCAGGTGCTTAGAGTTCTGATGCTATGATTGGCTAGTTTGATCATCCTGCCAGGCTCAAAAGGAGGCCTTCTAGAGGCAGAACTCTCTCGGACTGCTGGTTGAGGAAGACATGCTGCTGAAAGAGACACGCACCCTGGAAAGAGACACATCTGCTGGGAAAGAGGCACAAGAGACCCACTTCGCTGAATGAGACACCGAGGGACCAGTACTGCTGGGAAAGAGACTGTGAGAGACTGTTGGCTGAGGGACGGTGGGCTGGGAGAGAGACTGAGCATTTTTCCTGAACTCAAATTGTAGCCTGGTGCTTCCCTAATAAACCTCATAATCTGTGAGCTCTGTGTGGCCACCACAGTGAATTATTGAACCCAGGAGAGAGGTGGTGGGTGCTTTGGAAGGAATGGTTGGAGAAAGGGCTGGAGGGAGGCAGCATGTCTGGCATGGCAGGAATAGGCCTTGGGTTACTGCTGGTAATCCTGTCTTCCTCTTGTGGGATTAGAGGAGGTCAGAACATGTGGCCTCCTCACCGTTTTTGCACCAGGTAAACATCTTGCTCATCATATTCTTTGCTTTCAGCTAAGATCCATCTGACATCATCAATGATATCCCTCATTCCTAGTTCTCTTCTGAATCTAGCTTAAATTTCTGTAAGTTCCCTGTCAATATACTGCTGCAACCATTTATGAATTACCTTCAGCAAAATTTTAGTTGTGTGTGATATTAATGATGTTGTTGTTGTTGTTAAGTGCTGTCGAGTCGTTTCTGACTCATAGCGACCCCATGCACAGCAGAACAAAACGCTGCCCGATCCCACGCCAGCCCTACAATCCCTGCTATATTTGAGCCCAACATCGCTGCCACCGTGTCAATCCATCTTGTTGAAGGCCTCCCCCTCTTTCGTCAACCCTCCACCCTACCAAGCATGACATCCTTCTCCAGGGAATGGTCCCTTCTGACAACATGACCAAA